TGTAGACCGTGTGTTTCCACAGTGTTACTTCCTCTTCAGATAAGTGCTGAACGTCTCCCTTTTATATCCATAAGAGCAGTGCTGTTAATTTACAGAAACTGGTAGGAGCTGAGAGGAGTAAGAGGCGACCTAGTGATTAGTGTGGCTACCATAGTGAGCATTTCTTAGTATCTATGTCTTCGGTATCGAATGTGTTTCAGATGTTTGTTTACTTCCTAGAAACCGGAGTTCTCTCTTGAGGTAGACTGTATTACAGCGTGACCTAGGCTTGCCTTGGAATCCTGCTTCCGCCTCTTGAAACTTGGGATTGTGGGCTAGCACTACTGTGTTGAATGCAGTCTTTAAAGCCAAAAGATACCCGGTTTTCCACAGATATGCGTGCTATTTAGAAAATAGTCGGCCCACCTTCCCAGCCACATTCCTAAGACCGTTGGGGCTGAGAGAATGGTTGGTTTTGCTGCCCTAAAACAAATAAAAATCAGAGTCGGTTACATACCAGTCTTAGTTTTGCAGAGTTTGAATAAAACAGATGTTTACCAACGTGGGGTGTTAGGGCTAGAGATTGGTTTCAAGCAGTCTTAAGTGATGAAGGGTGTTCCTGATGCCTTTGTCAGAGATTTGGAGTTCTTAGGTTCTTTTGTGCGAGGGAGAGATTGTTGTGGGATTTGAAGACAGTGTACTCAATGGGAACATCTCTTCTTTCCTCCACTCAATCAGTGACAATAGTGACTATGAGTGCCTTTCACTGCAGGCAGGAGCTTCCAAGAACTTTACCTTTGTGGTTTACTTGTTTATTTGTTGAAACATTGGGAATGCTAAACAATCACCCTACTTATTACTGAACTATAGCCCCAGCCCTTGGTTTGGTTTTTGTGACAGGGTCTTCCTGGGTAGCTCAAGGTTGGCCTGAGCTAGATGGACTCCCCAGCCTATTGAGGGTATGCTCAGCATCAAGTTTTTAGTTTTGTTTTTCTGTAAGGAAACACATTTTAGTAGTTACAATCAATGTTAAGGGGTTCTGCCCCTTGCAGCTCTATATAAAAGTGCACTTACATAACTTGGGGTATTAGGAAGGACAGTTGATTTAAGCACTATTAATGTACAGAGCAGTTCTTGGTTCTCTTGTCTGAAACTGTCTTCTCTTGTGGCTGGAGAAACTGACTTCAGAAAATGGAGTGTTGCTAGAAAAGTTTGGGTCAGCTTTGCGTCAGTCAAGCCTGCCTCCCCCTTCTTGAGACACTGAGTAAAATGGAGGTAAAGGAGTGATAATCCAAAATGGTCCCTGTGCTCAGTTATTCTGTCGTAGGCTGTGGTAACTTCCTGATCATGATACAGCTTAGGAGCTTGTCCTTGAATTTACGGAGTGCAGATCACTAACCTGATTGAGATGTGCTCGCCTCTTCGGTTTGAGGAAGGCACACTTAAGAACAGGCTTCAGGTTTTATTAGGATAGGAGAAAGTGCTGAAATTTATTAAATTTGGTATTTATTTTTTTTTTCTGTTTAGTTTTGGAACCTGCCCTGAACTCACTCTGTAGACCAGGCTGGCCTCGAACCTCCCAAGTGCTGGGGTTAAAGGTGTGCACTACGACTTCCCAGCTCAAATTTGATAAATTATTTCTTTTACTAATTTTTATTTGAATTTTATGTACATTGGTGTTCTGCCTGCATATATGTCTGTGTGATGGTGTGGGATCCCCTGGAACAGGAGTTACAGACAGCTGTGACCTGCCGTGTAGGTGCTGGGACTTGAATCTGCATCCTCTGGAAAAACACCAACACTCCCAACCACTGAGCCATCTTGCAGTCACTTGATAAATTCTTTAAAAAAAAAAAAAAAAGACCCATCAGTTTTTTCCTCCCTCGCACCTGTTTCTTATCATAGCTCCAGAAACTCCCTTGTGTGGCGTGTGTCATTAAAGATCAAGTCGTGAGCTGGGCATGCTGGCAGGCACACTTCTCCAGCAGAGGCAGGCGGATCTCTGTGGCTTGGAGGCCAACCTGGTCTACATAACAAGTTCTTCCAGCACAGCCAGGAGTACATAACAAAATAAAGCAAAAAGATCAGATATCTTTTCTAAACATTCTCAAATTTTGGTTGTTTTAGTAACTTTAAAGGACTACCCCACTTAGTCCTCCCAAAGGAGGGACCTCTTTCAAAGAGAGGCTTGTTCAGTAGCTGTGCCATAGTGCCTCTGGCTTTAATTTGTCTGCACTGACATCAGCCATATCAAGATTAATCTTGTTAGGCTGATAAATTTCATAATTCAGACAATTATGAAAATTCAGACAAGTCTGTACAACTTAAAAACCAATTTCTCTTAACTAAAATATGATTTAGAACTGAGCATGGTGGTTCATGTGTGTGCTGTTGGCATTGGAGAAGTTGAGGCAAGAAGATCAGATCAAGAAGAACCTGGATTATATGGAGTACTCCAGGACAGCCAGACCCAGCCTGAGATACTGTTTTTGAAACACACACATTTTATCAAAGATAAAAAGAAGGAGCTGTACTTGGTACTGTGACCTTGTAACTGGAATCTCTGGGGCTGATACCATGTGGAGATTTGGCCTTTGAGAGGGGGCTACAAAGTTTCACCAGAGATTGGGCCACTAAAAGTTGTTCACAATGTGTCCAGTGCTCTGCTTTCAGCATTGTTCAAGTATGATACTCTAATCCCAGAAAAAGCAGCGGAAGAGCTCTCTTTATTCCCATTTCTATGTATGAGCAAACTGAGGTGCAGAGCTAGTGAGCTGCAGAAGTGGGCTTCCTCCCAAAGTAGTTTGAGTTTGTGTTTTTGCATGCTCATGTGTGCACGCATACACACCATTTAATACTTATTGTCCAGAATGTCTTGGATTCTTTCTAACAAATTTTCAACTTTCTATGTGACAGACACTTGCATTATTAGAAGATGGAAGCCCACTCCCTAAAGAAAGACTTTCTTTCGTCGCTGTATCATTTCTTTGAGAAAATTTTAGCTGGTGTCTTAGTATGTGCTCAGGCTAAGAACTTGCTGTCCTCCTGTTTTATTATCCTGAGTAGCTGAGATGAGCATGTGCTTCATACCCAGCTTACTCACTGCCCCTCTCTCTCTCCCTCCCTCTCTCCCTCTCCCTCTCTCTCTCTTTTCCCTCCCTCCCTCCCTCCTTCCCTCCTTCCCTCCCTCCCTCTCTCCATGTGTGTGTGTGTGTTTATGTGTTTCCAGTGTTGGGATTGCAGCCAGAACTTTACTTGACTGCACTTGCAACCTATGTTTTACTTTTGACAGGCAAATAATAACATATATTTGTGAGGTACAATGTAAAATTTAGAGATTTGTTTTTTAGTTAGGTATGTAAGTCTGAATGTGGGTATGTGCACGTGTATGTGGGTGCTCCAGGAGGTGAGAGTTGTCAGATACCAGAGGCTGTTGACATTGATGCTGGTGCTGGGAACTCCGCTTAGATCCCCAGAAAAGCAACATAAACCCTTAACCTCTGAGCCATCTCTCCAGCCCCAGCTTAATGTTTGAATGATTAAATCAAATTATTTTAATATGTTCATCACCTCAACTACCTAGGGAGATAGAAACATTTCAAGTCTATCCTTAGCGGTTTTTATGTATGTATGTATGTATGTATTTATTTTGCTGTTTGAGACCGTATCACTGTAGCCCAGCTGTATTGGTTTCTATTCCTCTTTCTCTTCCTCTGGCTGTGATCAAATGGCCCAACCAAAGCCACAGGAGGCTTCCCGGTTATAGTCCATCATGGCTGAGAGGCCACAGCAGCAGGTGTTAAGTGCATCCACGTTCAAGAGAGAGACATTGCTAGTGCTCAGCTTCCCTCCTCTCTTGTGTCCAGTCAGAACCCCCTGCCACACCTTGCCTTTGTGTTTGTGGTTTTGAGACAAATCTCTTCCTGTGTAGCTCAGGTTGGCCTCCCAAGAGCTGAAATCAGGTGAGCACCACCACACTCAGATAGTAGGGTGTTCGGTTGGTTGGGTTGTTGTTGTGTTTTTTTGGACATGGTGTCTTGAACCCTTAGGCTCAGGCATTCTTCCTGCCTTGGCTGTTGGCTGGGATAACAAGCGCTTATGTGTGCCTAAAATATTTTTGAATCTCTAACTGCCATTCTCAACATGTGTGTATATCTAGAGGAGGAATGTTTTCCTTGCACTTTTGGGGAAAAATTATTTTCAGAGCTCACTGAACCAGGAATAGCACTGTTTGAATAGGTAAGAGGTGTTAGATGAATCAATGTGTGGTGGCTCATGTCTGATATCCCAGCACTCACTGAGGCTGGAGGTTTGCTATGAGTTTGAAGCCATTTAGAACTCAGTTCCAGACAACTTGAACTATAGAAACATTGTCAAAAAAAAAAAAAAAACACCAATACCAAAAAGTATTTCAATTTTGAAAAGAAGTGTAATATGTACAATATGTACAGATAAGGTTAACTAAAATCATACTTAGTTCAATTTGCAATAATTTAAGGCTGTACTTGCTTACTTGTCTTTATGATCTAAAGAGAAAATATTCTAATAAAACATATTTTAGTCAGTAGCTGTTCATCCTGAAATACTGTAAAGACACTGTAGCTCCTGTATTCACAGCATTCAGGAATCTGAGGCAAGGGTACCCTTGGGCCAGCCTGAGCCACATAGTAAGATCCAGCTCCCCACACCACCCCCCCAGCTCATGTGTTAAAGTGCCTGCCTAGTATACAGGAAGCCCTGTATTTCCATAAACCAGATGTGGCACACCCCTTTAATCCCAGCGCAACAACAAGAACATAAACACCACTACTAAAAACAAAACTAGATTAAAACAGTGGTATGGTCAGTTTTGTGAATGGGATTCTATTAAACCAAGCCCATTCGGTTGTATGCTGCCTTTGGGATGGAGGTGTGAAGGAAATATAATACATGGTTTTTTTTTTTTTTTTGGTTTTTTTTTTTTTTTTTTTTTTCCGAGACAGGGTTTCTCTGTAGCTTTGGAGCCTGTCCTGGAACTCCCTTTGTAGACTAGGCTGGCCTCGAACTCACAGAGATCCGCCTGCCTCTGCCTCCCAAGTGCTGGGATTAAAGGCGTGCGCCACCACTGCCCGGCCTATAATACATGTTTTGAGAGTTTTTTTTTTTTTTTTTAAGCTAGGTAACTTTCATTTCTCAACAAAACCCAGAATATTTAAGTAGGTAATAAATTTTCCCTTCTCAGTGTGAACTGTTTGTTTTTAGTGGTGGACAAGTACTTGCTGGGTCTGCACATTTTACTTTCTCTGCAGAATTTCTTAAGGCAAAGAGTAAAATGCTCTCTGTGCCTGCCAATAATTTGTAGTTTGAGCAGGGCATAGTGGCACAGGCCTGTAGTCCCACTACTACTGGGGAGTTGAGGCAAGAGAATTTCAACTTAGTGGCCAGCCTTGGCAATAGATAAAGATCTCTCCAAAACAAAAAAACCAAACCCTAGCAAACCAATGCCCACATTTGGAGCTCAAGCTGACCCTATCTCACTATAAAACAGCCTGGGCTGGAGTGTCAGCAGCTTATTTTAGTAGGAGATACAAGGCCTTAGGTTTGTCCCCATCTCCCTTAGACAAGCTGACAGGTAAAGGAAAGCTGTGCTGGGGAAATGTTTTCTATACCAGCTTGTCCTACAGTTAGTTACCTGTCCACCCTTCTGCCCTCACGTTTTCCCTGCTTTCTAAGAGACTTTAAAAGTCAGCTGTAGTTTTGGCTGTGATTTGTAGCTGACAGTAAATGTACTTGGTATTTGGGAGCTTTAGTGGTTGGCAACTCTTCTCAATGCCTCAAGCATAATTAATTATTGGATTATGCTTGAGGCACTGAGAAGAGTTGCCTGCACATGGTAAATACTCAATAAAACAATAGTCGGATTCATTTTGTGTAGTGTTAATTTATCTTCAAAGAAACAGTTTCTTCAATATTGTTCAGTAAAGGATGCCAACTTCTATTGATAAGGCATGTATGATTTCTTGTTATTGCTGTGCTGAGAATTGAGACTATGGACTTGAATATGCCAGGTATGCACTCTGTGGTTATGCTATATCACCAGTCCTTTAATTTTAGATATAAGATAAAATGATATGCAAAACAGCTGCTGAAAAGAGAAAAAGGTGTATTGTCACATGGTACATAATGTAGGGTAGTGTGTGAAACTTGCTGCTATGATCAAATGCTTGAGAACAGCTTGAAGAAGAGGTTTGATTCATTGTGACTGGAGGATATGGTAGCAAAACAGCTCACATCATATAGCTCACATCTCTGGGAAGCAGAGCAATAACAGGAAGGGGCTAGGGCAAGATAAAGCCCCCTCAGTAATACCCCTTTTCTATGACCTGTTCTTCAATCAGGTCTCACTTCCACAGTTCAACCGACTCCCAATAGTCTTTCTCTAGTTCAGAGATGATCTTGTCTCTGACAAACATTTCCCTTTAGTTACTTAATATAAGTGGTTCTCACTCCAATACTCAGAGTATTTAGAGTCTTTCAGGTTTTCCTTTTTAGAGCAAGGAATTTTGTTACAGAAAATATTGGTGTTGGTGGGCATCACAGTTTGTTAATCATCCTTAGCATATACACAGCTACACAGCTCAGGTGTGGGAGTCACAGCACAACAACACCATTAAAAGATAATGTATTCATTTATGGAATGCTGCCATAGATTTCTTGGGGGGTTTTTTGTTTGTTTTGTGTTTTGTTTTTTTTTGGGGGGGGTTGGCTTTTTTGAGACAAGGTTTCTCTAACTTTGGAGCCTGTCCTGGAACTAGCTCTTGTAGACCAGGCTGGTCTCAAACTCACAGAGATCTGCCTGCCTCTGCCGCCCTAGTGCTGGGACTAAAGGCTTGCGCCACCACCGCCTGGCTTGAGGGTTTTAATACAGTATATAATAATATATATCATATTGTTACCAGGAAGAAGTCTCAGTGAATACTGAAATCCTCCTGTGTTTAATTTTCCATACACTTTTATACCCCAATACCACAGGGGGAAGAAGACAAAAGACTGCTTTAACATGATACAAAGGACAATTAGAACAGTTACTTGCTTCAATACTTTGAGACATGAAGTCATTAGCATTCTCTTGTTTAGGCAGTAAACCCATCCTAGACCAAGTATCCTGAAGGTAGCCATTCCCAAGGTCAAACCTCCTATTATTTCAAAAGAAGGAGCAGAAGTACACTTGAATATCCTGACCAGACAGGAAGTAGAGGTGGGTCAATGAGAACAGGAGAATTCTGGGAAGAAGGAAGTCCTGGTCTGCAGTCCTGTCCCAGTCATAGAAGAAACAAGATGTAACTGCCCTGCTGAATAAGGTACCAAGCCACGTAGCTAACACAGATAAGAATAATGGGCTAATATAAGTTGTAAGAGTTATGAAGCCTGAGATACTGGGCCAATCAGTTTATAACTAAAACAAAAAAATATATCCTGACCATTTTTCAGGGTGGAGTGGATCTACCTGTATGAGCCATCTTAATGTCAAAAAACACCAAGTAACCACACCCTCAGTCACAATGTGTAGCCAATTTGTTGTCGACAAGGTTGAAATAGACTTGCATTTTTGGGCCTCCACAACCTTTACACCTGTTTTTGTTACTTCCACAATTAACTTACTAGACACCTGACTGTATTATTATTAGTTTCAGCAATTGTGTAGTTTGGCCAGAAGATACATTGTGAGCTCTTTGTCACCCTAAATAATTGATACTTTGAGGAAAAGCAGTGGTTCCAATGATCATAACATAGATGTTTTATGTTAAAATTACTTTCCTTTCTGATTTTGCAGTTCAGGGTTATGAAATTTTAAATTGAGGTAGTTTGGGTAGCCACCTATTTGGATTTCCCTCTTCATTTTCTGGTTTGTAATTCCTTTGACACCACATGTTAGAAATACCAAGTTTCTAACTCCAAACATTTTTTAAATTAAACTTTTAATTCATTTGAATTTTTGCTTGTTTATAAATTGTATTATTGCTTGTTTTGCATGTATGGGTGTTTTGCCTGCATGTGCATTGTGTCATGTATATGCAGTGCTGAAGGAGGCCAGAAGAGTGCTCCAGTCCCCTGGAAATAGAGTTAAAGAAGGTTGGTAGCTGCCCGGTAGGCCCTAAGAGCTGACCCCTGGTCCTGGAAGAGCAGCCAGTGTTCTTTTTTTTTTTCTTTAGATTTACTTATTAGTGTTCAGCCTACATATATGCCTTCACACCAGAAGAGAGCACCAGATCTCATTACAAATGTTTGTGAGCCACCATGTGGTTGCTGGGAATTAAACTCGGGACCTCGGTGCTCTTAACCACTAAGCCATCCTCCCTCTAGCTCCAGTTTTTTGCTTTTATTAAGTGAATGTTATGTAGTAGAATATAGATGTGGGTTCCCCCCATTGAGTGGTGCTACTATTTCTCGATAGAACAAAATGTATGGATAAAAGCAATATAGGGAAGGGTTTGTTTTGGCTTATGGTTTTAGAGTACAGTCCATGGGGCAAGAGTTGAGATAGCTGTTGTCCTTAGGTCCACAAAAGGGAACAAGGCTCAGAAGGCTGTCGATATGACAGGGATAGCCCTCCATCCCCTCTGGGAGGCGACTTCAATGGGACAACTTTATTTCTGGGGACAAACCCTAATTTGCAGTAAGTGGCACACTCCTATCCTAGCTGGATTAGTGGGAGCATGACCCTATCAAAATGACTAGCGCACTAACCTAATTACCGTGTGGGCATCGGGGAAGAGTGTTTTCAGGGAACTATGTCAAGGGTCATCCGTGAGGTAAGTCAGGCATCCTGGCCTAGAGACATCCGCCTATGAAGGACAAATAGAGAGCAGGAAGTTTGGCTGAGGAGGGAGTCCTCCATGTTGCTGAGCTTGGTGAAAGTTCCCAGGCCATGGTAGACTGCCACCTCTGACCAGCAGGGCCTCCCACCGGTTGTCACTGCACCCCACAGTCAGGGAGCATCAAGTACTGAACACCACTGTCCTGTGACCTTTCTCCTTTCTATTTAGTATGGGAACCTCAGAGTGTTGCTTGTGCTATCAACCTTTACAATGGGTCACGTTAACTAACCCGAAATTCCTTCACAAACATATCCAGAGCTTTGTTTTCGTGGTGGTCCTAAAACTTGTAAGACAATCAAGATTAGGCATCATTAGTGATTGCCTAGCAATTCCAATATTAGTGGAGTCCCTCTTGTTTGTTTGTTTGTTTGTTTGATTTTGTTTTTCAAGACAGGGTTTCTCTGTGTAGCACTTTGTAGACCAGGTAGACCTCGAACTCAAGAACTGCGTGTCTCTGCCTCCCAAGTGCTGAGATTAAAGGCATGGACCACCACCACTTGACTAGCCAGTCAGTCTTATTTCAAATCCCATGTTGATCGTGTCTAATTTTTATGTGTACTTGGGTTTATTGGTGGTCTGTAATGCATCTTAATGTGATAGAGTCTCCAGGAGAAACTTGTTCTTTCTTCATTCAAATATTCTGACAACTTAAGTTCACACATTAAATTGGAAAACATTGTAATTTGTATAGTATTGGTGTTTTTCTGTGTAGCAGTGTTATTCTCACTCATACGCATTTCTAAAAGAAAACATGACAAAGAGCTAAATTACACACACTTGCAGTGTATATTGAGAGAAGGAGGTGTGACTGAGTGGGGGAGTGCTTGATGACGTGTTGTAAGGCTCTGGGTTCTAGCCCCAGCTCCTCAAAACAAACTGCATACTTGACACATAAATAAACAGACAAATGTACACATTAGAATTTCTTAAAGTTTTAGAAATTAATAATTTTGAATCTCATTGCTATGTAGTCTTTGTATAAATATGTCTGGAGAGTGACAACCACCGCAGAAGAGGGCATTTGTTTGAGTATTGTTTCTCCATTAAATTGCAGTCATGTGTTGCTGGCTTCTGCAATTTAAATTCTCTAAAGAACCTTAAAGTCAGCTGTTTATTCATGTGCTTATTTTCTCCAATGTTTATTTCTTGTGTGGAAGGCAAAAAGTTTAAAGTACAGCTGTTGATTTTCTGCAGCCTAGTTATTTTAAATGTTACAGACGTGAACAATTCGTTTTTCTTCTGTTTCATTTTTCTGCTAGTATCTAAAATTGATTGAAACTTCATGTAAATGTAAAGTTTATCAAAGGCTGTTGTTTTAAACATTGTATTCTAAGAGCTTGATCTATGTATTCTAACTGAACTTTTTTCTTTTTAGTTCTGCAGAAAACCTACTGAACATAAGATGTTGCAACAAAATCTACCTCCTGTATTTTTCCCTTTTATTCATGAGCTGCACAGTTGCAGATCTGAGCAGGATGTCTGGAGACTCTGTTGAAAAACTCTAGCGCAGGATGACCTAGCAAAGACTGTAAGCCTCAGGATACTTCGGATTGCGTCAGTTCTGGTTGAGTGCTACAGATAACAGCAAGTGGACGCCCTCCTTTATTTCGGAAGTATTCCTCTGACCTTCCATCAAGACGGACTTTTCTAACGTGTTCTGGGAGATATTGATGGAATGCAGTCATGTCCACTCAGGAGGAAAGGCAGGTCAATACCGAGTATGCTGTGTCCTTGTTGGGGCAGTTGAACCTGTTTTACCAACAGCAGTTGTTTACTGACATAGTGTTAATCGTTGAGGGCACTGAGTTCCCTTGCCATAAGATGGTTCTTGCAACATGCAGCTCCTATTTCAGGTGAGTAGCTGATCTTTCTTAGTTTGTAGTAACAGTCTTATTTCAGTTTTCAGTTTATTGCACTGTGTGGGCGTTGATGTGGGCAGGTATGCCGGAGCAAACGGCGGAGATCAGAGGATAACGGCCTTGCCGGATTTGGTTCTCTCCTTCCTCCTTTATGTGGATTCTGAGATGGCAACTCAGATCACCAGGCCTGCCCAACAACCACCTAACCTGTCAATAGGAATTCTTTTCAAAGTTTTTGTTTTTTAAGACAAAGTCATACTGTGTAGCGTTGGCTATCGTTAAGCTCACTATGTGAACCAAATTGGCCTCACGGAGATCTGCCTGCCTCTGTCTCCCCAGTGTTTTTACTCGGTACTTGTCAAAGCATTTCCTTTAAGGAACAGATGAAGTTTTTACAAAAGTATTAAATACGTGAAAATTGTTGAAATTGACTATAGTTTTACTTTGGGGTGCTATATTCAGTATACTGTTTTTTTTTTTTTTCTTGAAAAGAAAAATGAGATTTACTCTTATTTTTTTAAAATAGTGCATTTAGAAAATCATGGTTGTTTATAAACTGAAGAGTTATGTAACAGACTCATAATTTTTAGGGGCTAGTTGATGCTGTTTAGATGCTGTCATAAACATTAATCACAACAGAAACACCACCTTAAGGGAAATAACTTGGATAATTATTCTTTTGGTACCCCCCAGCCTTACCAGACTCCATGCAGTGCCGATGACAGTGTCGGTGCTCTCTGTGTCTTAGAACCTGGAAGTTTATAGAGTTGTGCTCTTTAGAAATAATAAGCATTTTTTTCCTTTTTTCGAGGAGAAGGGTTTATTTTAGCTCACAATTCGGGGTTACAGTCCATTGTAGACAAATAATAAAAATTAGAACTTTCAGGTTTAAGGTTCTTGAGAATAGCAACTAAGGTAAAGAAATTGCTTTTTGCTCTCTGACTTTTAAGGTGAGTTTTGCTCAGTGTTTGAAAAGAGGCAGGATGAGTAAGATAAATTAAATGTGGGCTAAGTATTTCTGCTACAGGAAAATTGCCTCTGCTGCCTATTTGTGGCAGCTGTAGCAAGGCAGACTAAATGGACTTTGAAGATTGATTTACCTAAAAGTGAAGAGATGGCACATTCCTCAGCGTGGCGTCACCAAGCCAGGGCCTGGATGCCAGTTGCCTGTGCAGTGCCAGCCACTTTGGTTTCAGTTTACGGTGTGGGTTTTCATGCAGTTTCAGACACTGCTTTTCCTCTCTGTTACAAAGCCTGTTTACAATAATCAGGTGCAGCTTTAAAACTGGAGGTTACTGAAATTTTGGTGGGTCTCAAGTGCAGACTTAGAAGCTATACATTAAAGAGCTTTGTACATGACTGAATATGCATTCTGAGACTGGAACGCAAATCTTCAGATTCACCCACCATCATCTGACCCCATGGAGCCATCGCTGGAATGATGGTCTTCTACCAGTAGGAATTCTTTTAAACGCTAAAGTTTTCATTTTCGTTTCTTAAGATTGTGTTGCTTTGACAGTTCTTGAACTCACTATGTGGACTAGCAAAATAACTCGGCAGGTAAAGACCCTTGCTGGCCAAGCCTAAGGACCCGAGTTCAATCCCTGGAACCCACAAAGTGTAAGGACAGAACCAGCCCCTCCAGTTGTATGCTGGCTTCCACACATCAACTATTGTACACGCACACAGCATGTTGTTTTGGCAGCCACAAAGTTAATGAAGAAAAAAATGAAACCATAATACAGAAAATGTTAGTAGCATTTGTCTTGCATAGTCATTTACTCTTATTTTTTTTAATAGTGCATTTAGAAACATGGTTGTTTATAAACTGAAGAGTGCTTGTAAACTGAACAGTGCTCATCATTTTTGTGTTTCAGACCCACTGTCTTGGCTGGGGTAAAAATTCAGGGCTTTTGGTTCAGCAAATGGATGTCTGAGTTTATAAGCTCTCTCTTAATGACTTAATCGCAAACTGGTTAGCCATTGTTGGGAAGAGCTCTATGCTTTTGTTATAGATTGACATCTGTATAGTCATAGAGCTACTGTTTTGTTGTCCAAGCTGGTCTCCATTGTGTGAACTTGTATGAGTCTCCTGCTTCAGCATTATTAATAAGTGAGCAAGTTATTTAGTGTTAAGTTAACTTTGAAGTCGTCTGATATGGTACCAGAACTATGCAATGCCTTTAATCCCAGCACTTGGAAGGCAGAGGCAAGCGGATCTATGGGTTACATAGAGAAACATGCATGTGTGCTCCTTCCCCACACATACACAAAACTAAGCAAGAGAAATTCAATTAATATTTTTTGTGTTATGGCTTTATTTTTTTCTTCATTAAGTTTGTGGTTGTAGCAATAGCATGTTGTTTTGTTATGTAAATTTTAATCACATTTGTTTATTGTGTGTAAAAGTTCAGAGTACAGCCTGGAGGGGTTGGTTCTCTCTTCATTTTGGGGTTCCCAGGTATTGAACTCAGATTATTAGGCTTGGGGAGCAAGGTTCTTTATCTGCCAAGTCATCTTGCTAGTATTTTCAATACTATTTATCAAGTTATTTATCTGAATTAAGATTTTTGAAAACAAAGCAGCATTAATCTTTCATTATACTGTAATATTACAATTTTAAAGGTGGCAGGTTTTTTTTTTTTTTTTTTTTTTTGGCTTTTTGAGACAGGGCTTCTCTGTGTAGACTGTCCTTGAACTCACTGAGATCCACCTGCTGCTGGGATTAAAAGCATGCACCACCACCACCCAGTACAGGCAACAAACAGTACTTTCAAGGCTTCCATTACATATAGTAGCTAATTCCTTTCATTTATTTATTTTGTGTGTACAGGTGTTTTGCCTGCATGTAAGTTCAAAACATGTATGTTTGCTTCTCATAAAGGCTAGAGAAGGGTTTTAGATCCCCTGGAACTGGAGTTGTAGATGATTGTGAGCCACCATGTCAGCACTAGTGATTGAACTCAGGTCCTGGAAAACCAACTAGTCCTATATAGCCGTCACTCGATCCACCTGTTTGTTTACTGTGTGTTGCTGTTCTACCTGCACATGTCTACACTACATGCATGAGTTACAGACAGCTGTGAGCTACAATATAGGTGCTGGGAATTGAACGTGGGACCTCTGGAAGAACAGACAGTGCTCTCAACCATGGGGTCATCTCTCCAGCCCTCAAGCCACCTTTTACAAGTTTAGATTTTATGTGTATGTTTGTCTGCATTTAGTGCCAATGGAGGCCAGAAGAGGGTGTTCGATTCCCTGGAACTTGAATCATACATGGTTGTGTGCCATTTATGAATGCTGGGAATCGAACCCAGGTCCTCCAGAAGAGCAGCCCGTGTTCTTAACTAATGAGCCATCTCTCCACCATGTAGTTCCCTTCTTTAGCTTCCATGATTTTCCTAAAGCAACCACTTAATTATTGAGTACATAGAATAGTCGGGTACGTGTGTATCATTAAGATCTTATTTTTGGACTAGTTTTTTAGCCACAAGAATTTTTTTTCCTTATGTGTCTTTTCATTGTACTGAATAGATTATAGTATATGCCTTAATAATACATCTTTCTCAAGTATTCTTAGCGTAATTCTGCCTTCAGAATTCAGGATTGTTACATACACAGCTAATTCTGCTTTTTATTCTTTTTATGTTTCTGTATGTGGCATTATTATTATTATTATTATTATTATTATTATTATTATTTTGATTTTTCAAGACAGGGTTTCTCTGTAGCTTTGGTGCCTGTCCTGGAACTAGCTCTTGTAGACCAGGCTGGCCTCGAACTCCCAGAGATCCGCCTGCCTCTGCTTCCCCCTTCCGAGTGCTGGGATTAAAGGCGTGCGCCACCACCGTCGGGCTTGTGGTATGTGTTTATTGTATGTACGGGAGTATGCGTGCCAATGTATGTGTATAGGTCAGGGCATAGGCCTCGGTGTCAGACTTAGCCTCCCATTTTGCTTGAGACAGTGTCTCCTTGTTTGGCACTAATAAACCAGCCTTGTTGGGGATTCTCCATCTCCTTGTAGAAAACTCAGATTACAGATGTGACTGGGCCTGCCTTTAATGGATTCTGGGAATTTGCATTGAGATCCTCAGTATTTGGGCAGCAAGCATTTTATCCACTAGCTGTTTCCCCAGTCTCAAAATTCTGCTTTTAAAGTACCTTGTGTTTTTCCTTTGTAGTTTGTTACTCAAATAGTAATTGTATCTTGGTAACATTGACTTATTGATTATTTTATACTCAATGATTGAGTTACTACTTGAGAATTACTCAGCATTCTATGGCTCTTAAGCTAATTACATAATTATGTAATTCGTCATTTGTTTTTTCTTTTTTTTTTTTTTTTAAGCCAGCTAATAGGGCTTAGTTGAGTAGGGTATTTGCCACCAAGCCTAACACCTGAGTTAGATTCTCTCGAACCCACATAGTGGAAGAAGACTGGCCCACAAGTTGTCTTGACCTACACATGCTCACCTTGGCACATACCCACACAGTCAGTCAGTAATTTTACATTTTTTAAGTGTCCATGGTCACATTGGCCAGACATTTGCTATTTTTGGTGTTTAGGAAGCAGTCACTTTACAGAAGGATTCTCACTGTCGTCTGTGTGCATCAGTTGTTCCTGGCCTTAGGCCCCTGCTGGTGTGAATGTAAGGAGCACTCATCTTGCACTGCTGCTCAAGAGCTCTTGTAAGTCTTTCTCAGGTTTGAGTTCTCTCTCAGACAAGTGAAGCTGGTAGCAATAGACATGCTGGGTGTCTTTTCTAAGAACACTGTCCTGACTCAGTCGTCTTTGTGTTCGTCCTTTAGCTTCGATAGGATTTCTGGGACCTGTGTTCCCTCCCTGTTTGCCTGGATTTTCGTATCTGTCTGCATTGCTCATTTTGTGTAGTGTTAGGGATCACTAGGAACCTCAGTTTATTTTGCAGTGTATCTCTTTTTTGAGGACGGGGCAGGGAAATACGATTTCAGCTTATAGGCCACAGTCCATCACGAAGGGAGGCCAAGACAAGGGACCTGGAGAAAGAAACTGAAGCAGAGGCCAAATGCAGGCTTTCTCTTGACCTCGTAGCTGTCACTTGTTTCTTAGAACTTAGGTAGCCACAGTGATCCTCTTGCCTTAGTCTCCAAGTGCTGGGAGTACAGGTGTAAGCTATTGTGCCTGGCCACAGGTGGATTTGTTATTGTTGTTACTATTATTTTGTATTTTATAGTTACTGAAGATTAAGCCCAGGGTATAACATAGACAAGACAGGAATTTTCCCACTGAGATACACTGGCCCTTTTAAAAATTTTGTGTTTAGGCTGGCTTTGAACTTGTCGTTCTCTGACTTTAGTCTCATTTCTCCCAGGTAGCTGCCTCCATAGTTTGAGAGGCACACGCCTCTTGGGCTGACTGGTGTTGCACGCGTCTGTGGTTCAAGCACTCCTTAATCCCTCAAACTGAATTCTACTTCATTGTTGTGTATGTGTTCTTTTGTTTGTTTGTTTGTTTTTCGAGACGAGGTTTCTCTGTAGCTGGCCTCAAACTCACAGAGATCCGCCTCCTCTGCCTCCCTAGTGCTGGGATTAAAGGCATGTGCCACCACCAACCGGCTTGTGTGTGTTTTCTAAACTGGAGTTCTTAAGTATGGTTTTCTTGATTTGGGGTCAGGAGTGGTCTTCCTTTTGTAACTGGTCAGTTTGTAGCTGAGTCATGGCTCCCATATTAGTGCCTAACCTTCAATTTTCCTCTGCTATTCCATTCTTTACTGACGATTATATCATTTCCTTTTGACTCAGCTGGTCTTCACGTATGCAGTTTAACTCACCTTTTTGCAATGATGAACTTTCTTTCTTGGCCTTAAAATTTGTTACTTATTAACATTTTTTCCAGGTATTTTGTTGAAAGTAAACAGGTAGCTTTGACTCTTATCTGCTTTCTGCCATATCCTGTTCTGTGTTCAGAAAATAGCTAGGCTTTATCAGCCTTTTGTAATGGTTTTTGTATTTATTCCTGGCATGCTCTATTTCTAACTAGATGCTTGCTCTAGTTTCATAGCCAATCCTCTAGTTTTCAACCTTTAGCTCTTGAGCTCTGTCCGTATGTAGAGTATTCATTTTAGGGAAGAATCCATCATAGTTAATCTAAGCTCACAACAGTCTACTTCGCTGTCAGATGATTTTCTCAGATGACTCTGAGGCAGCATGGGACTAAAATTGAGCCTGAGGTCTCATGTATGTTACACGTAGTGCTCTACTACTGAGCTCCCTCCCAGCCCTGCCCATTTAAAGGCCTGTGACCTGCCACTCATCTTTAGAGTTCATGCTCTGTTCTACTGCATGAACCTTATTGAGCTGTGGCCCTGAGCACATGTGTCCCATACTGTATTATCCAAGCTAGTGACTATTTTGGGACTCACTCTTTTAAACCACTGCACACAGAGATTTTTTTCTCTTGTGTATGCAGCAATATTCTTCCAGTTAAGTATACTCGCAGGCAGGCCGGCAAGGTGGCTCCGCACTTAAGCCTGACAATTTAGGGTTCCACAGGTGGAGGGACAGGACCGACTCTCAGAAGCTGTTCTCTGATCTCCACACATGCACTGTGGTCTAAGCCCTATCCTACAACACAGTAGACCTTCACAATAAATAAATGTAACAATTCTTTTTAAGTGGGCTTTTAAAAGTTTCAGTGTGAACCTGGTATGGTGGTCCACAGCCTTTAATCCCAGCACTCAAGAGGCAGAGGCAGGCAGATCTTTCTGAGTTCAGCAGTCTAGTCTACACAGTGAGTTCCAGGACAGCCAGAGGAACAGTGATAAAACAGTAATACCTCATCTCAAAAGAGTTGGTCTGTTTTCCCACAGTGTCAATAGTCTTTCCAGCATAGTTTCCTGCATATTTTTTGTAACAGAGCTGCATATTTAGAAAATTCTTTAGTGGTTTGTAAGCTTTTTAAAGGTAGAATTTACATAGTGTAAGTCCTTTTAAGTCTGCAGTCAGCTCTCTGCAGTTTTTACCACATCTTCAACTGCAAATAGAAAATACTCTTAAGAAAGAAGACCTTACAGTTGAGCAGCTATTTGTGTATTTACATTGTTTGAGGTATTACAAGTAGCCTGTGGAAGGCTGGATGAGGCTGTAGTTCAGTGAGTATAGTATGTGCCTTCCATGCATGAAGTGCCCTGTATTTGATCTCCAGACCACATGAACCAGGTGTGATAGGGCATGTCAGTATTCTCAGCACTGAAGAGAGAGGTGGGAGAATCAGAAGCAAGACCAGCCTAGACAGGCAGATTGGTAGGTACTAAATATATAAATAAAGCTAAAAAGATGTGTGTATGTTTTGGACTAATATGCCTTATTTTAAAAGGGTACTTAGTATCTTTGTTTTCGTGTGCAGAGGGTATCCAGGAGCCATTTTACTTGGATTCTGTGGGTGACAGAACTGTGCTGCCTTCTCCACAGTCTAATTTACAGCGTTTCTGTTACCTTGTGTTCATATATTCAGTTCATTCCTCCTACATCTAGGTATCATTCTGTCTCTGTATATTTGGCAATTCTTGGACATTTCATGTAAATAAACTTGTGTCTTTTGTATCTGGCTTCTTCACTGAGCAGGGTGTTTTTGAGGTTCATTTATTTAGCAACACTTCTGATTTATTGCTGACTAGTATCCCATTGTGTGACTTTGAAGAGTAAATTAATTTTGATGTCCGCCCTCAAAATGGCATAGTGGTCTTGTCTTCAGCCCTGGATTATATATGATTTTCTCGTTGTCTCTGAAGGTCTTTCTAAAATAGATACCTGAATAAACATCCTGTGTTGCCCAGCTTGTTTTATTAAGCTTGCTTTCTGTGTCCCCCTAGGGCCATGTTCATGAGTGGACTAAGTGAAAGCAAGCAGACGCATGTGCACCTGAGGAATGTGGATGCTGCGGCCCTGCAGATGATAATAACCTATGCATACACGGGGAACTTGGCAGTGAATGACAGTACCGTAGAGCAGCTCTACGAAACAGCTTGCTTCCTGCAGGTAAAGCGGGCTTCTAACCTGCTAGTGAGGTGGAGCTTATTTTATTGACTTTTTGTACATTGGTGTTTGCCTCTGTGTGTGTGTGTATGTCTTTGTGAGGGCCAGATCCCCTGGAGTTACAGACAGCTGTGAGCTGCCATATGGGTGCTGTGAATTCAACCTGGGTCCTCTAGAAGAGCAACCAGTGCTCATAACCAGAGTCATCTTACCAGGCCCGCATTCATGATAGATATATCTTTATCTGTACAGTTTTAATGTTAATTTTATATGAGTCACTTTCTGGTTATAAAATGTGAAGTGAAAAAAAAAAACAGGACTTTTTTCAGTTGGTAAATGATTTTACGGCAGGAATGTCATAAAACAAATAGGCAAGTGGCAAAATAGCAGCCACATTGGTTTAGAAATAAATACTAAGTTTATTTTCCCATTTGTTCAGGGGTAACACTGTTAAACACAAGGTCTTATCTGTGTGGATCTGAATACAGAGCCTGTAAATTGAAAATCAGTGAGCTGAGTCTGGTGGTGCACACCTGTAATCAGAGTGCCAGGAAATCAGATTCCAGGGCATTCAGAGCTTTGCATACAGTGAGGCCTGTCTTGAAAGAGATACAGAGTCATTTTCGTACTGGTTTTGTATTTTCTTATCTTTTTATTTTTGAGACAGGGTTTCTGTGTGTAACAGTCCTGCCTATCCTGAAACTCACTTTGTAGACCAGGCTGGCTTCAAACTCACTGAGATCCTCCTGCCTCTGCCTCCCAAGTGCTGGAATTAAAGACTATGCGCCATAACCAGCCAGCTCTGGTTTCATATTTTGCCTGATGCTCTTCAGAATTAGATTTCAAGTTAAGTATTGTTGAAGTTTAGAGCATTTACAGTGTTTAAAGCCTAAATTCATTATGTTTGATAGAACTCTCACAAACACATTTGGATTGCTATGGAAGATTTGATGCTAGTGATGGTTGTGAACTATATTGAGCTATTAAGTAGTTAGCTAAAATAGATGATTGATGTATTTTAGTATGATTAACTGTTCTATATTGCTTAGACTCCCTCCAGATTTTATAGGTGTATGGCTATTCCCATCATCTCTTTCTCTGCTTTGGAATAACACGTTGTACTTTGAAAACTGCTGTTTGCAGCCAGGCATGATGGCATGGCACCATGCTGTACTCCCAGCAGCTGGGAGGTAGAAGAGAACGGCTGGTTGAGGTGACACCAGCTATATGGAGCAAACCCCTGTCTGCAAAAACAAAAGAAACAAAGTTTCTACCAAGGGAGAACTTTTAGATCTCAGGAACCAGCCTTAAATAGGCATTTAGATCATTTAAAAAGCTCCTTAAATCTGAGATTGCTGTATGGGTCACTCACAGCAGCCTGAATAGGAGCGGTAAATAGGTCGTCGGGCTAGAGGAAGAAATGGAAATTGCCTAGTCTTGTAGTCTTGAAGTCTAATTTTATTATTGCAGGAAACTCTGTGTGTGTGTGTGTGTGTGTGTGTGTGTGTGTGTGTGTGTGTGTGAATGCATACATACATATGGTAGTAAAAATTGACAGTATAGGGGAGTCTGCTATGGGAAACCTATATCTCACATGAAAATAAACTGGAGGGAGCTAGACAGTGGTGGCGCACGCCTTTAATCCCAGCACTTGGGAGGCAGAGGCAGGTAGATCTTTGAGTTCAGGGCTAGCCTTGTCTACAAGAGCTAGTTCTAGGACAGGCTCCAAAGCCACAGAGAACCCTGTCTCAATAAACCAAAAATAATAAATTAATTAATCAAAAAAAAAAACTGGAGAGATGGGAGTAGCTCTCAATGTAGGATATTAGATTTAGATTCTCAGCGTTTTTTAAATTATTTTTTATTTATCATCCTTTATTCCCCTTATTTTAGGTTGAAGATGTATTACAGCGTTGTCGAGAATATTTAATTAAAAAAATTAATGCAGAGAACTGTGTTCGGTTGTTGAGTTTTGCTGATCTCTTCAGTTGTGAAGAGTTGAAGCAGAGTGCTAAAAGAATGGTGGAGCACAAGTTCACTGCTGTCTACCACCAGGAAGCCTTCATGCAGCTGTCCCACGACCTGCTGATAGACATTCTCAGCAGTGACAACCTAAACGTCGAGAAGGAAGAGACAGTCCGAGAAGCTGCGATGCTGTGGCTGGAGTACAACACAGAATCACGATCCCAGTATTTGTCTTCGGTTCTTAGCCAAATCAGAATTGATGCACTTTCAGAAGTCACACAGAGAGCTTGGTTCCAGGGGCTCCCGCCCAACGATAAGTCTGTTGTGGTTCAAGGTCTTTATAAGTCTATGCCCAAGTTTTTCAAACCAAGACTTGGGATGACTAAGGAGGAGATGATGATTTTCATTGAAGCATCATCAGAAAACCCTTGTAGTCTTTACTCTTCTGTCTGTTATAGCCCCCAGGCAGAGAAAGTTTACAAGTTATGCAACCCGCCAGCTGATTTGCATAAGGTTGGGACAGTTGTAACCCCTGATAATGATATTTACATAGCAGGGGGCCAGGTGCCCCTGAAAAACACAAAAACAAATCACAGTAAGACAAGCAAACTGCAGACCGCCTTCAGAACTGTGAATTGCTTTTACTGGTTTGATGCACAACAAAATACCTGGTTTCCAAAGACGCCGATGCTCTTTGTCCGCGTGAAGCCATCCTTGGTTTGCTGTGAAGGCTATATCTATGCAATTGGAGGAGACAGTGTTGGTGGAGAACTCAATCGGAGGACTGTAGAAAGATACGACACTGAGAAGGACGAGTGGACAATGGTGAGCCCCTTACCCTGTGCTTGGCAGTGGAGTGCAGCCGTTGTGGTCCATGACTGCATTTATGTGATGACATTGAACCTCATGTACTGTTACTTTCCGAGGTCTGACTCATGGGTAGAGATGGCCATGAGGCAGACTAGCAGATCTTTTGCTTCAGCTGCAGCTTTTGGCGACAAAATTTTCTATATTGGAGGGTTGCATATCGCTACCAATTCTGGCATAAGACTCCCCTCTGGCACTGTGGATGGGTCTTCAGTAACTGTGGAAATTTATGATGTGAATAAAAACGAATGGAAAATGGCAGCCAACATCCCTGCTAAAAGGTACTCTGATCCCTGTGTTAGAGCTGTTGTGATCTCAAATTCTCTTTGTGTGTTTATGCGAGAAACTCACTTAAATGAACGAGCTAAATACGTCACCTACCAGTATGATTTGGAACTTGATCGGTGGTCTCTGCGGCAGCACATATCTGAACGTGTACTGTGGGATCTAGGGAGAGATTTTCGATGCACTGTGGGGAAGCTTTATCCATCCTGTCTTGAAGAATCTCCATGGAAGCCACCAACTTACCTTTTTTCACCAGATGGAACTGAGGAGTTTGAACTGGACGGAGAAATGGTTGCGCTTCCCCCTGTATAGGGGAATTGAAGGGGTGCACATGCTGGACTAGTGATATCCTTTGTTAAACCAGAGGATATAAAAGGACTAAGTATGAGTACATAAAAATCTATCTTTGATACATTTTATTTTTATGACCTACTTAATATTTGCATCAGTATAATATATATATCAGTGTGTCATACAGAAAGATAATGCTTCTGTAATATGAATAGGTTATTTGATAATTGAGAGACTTTGATGTGTATCATGTGAGCATGAGAGTCTGGATTATCTAACATTGTTAGCCCTGTGTATGTACAGTCCAGAACTTCACTTTTAAAAGGAATTTCCTGTTCCTAGTGTGGTATACCAAAATTGTGCTGAGATTATTTTAGTATATGTATTGAATTCCTGTAATTCTAAAGTCCTGGAATATAGTTTTTCTAGCATAATTCAGCTGCACTTAACACTAATGTTCATGTCAGTCTAGAAACGTCTTTCAAGTCCTATACTGTTGCTGAGGAAGATCTCCTCTGTGTCTATGGTATCACACAGGGAAGCTGTGACTGCAGGACCAGTCTCACTCTTCTACTAGGTGCATGTATTCCCTTCCCACTGACTATACTTGTCCATCTAGAATACAGGTTGTCCAGTCAGCTGGTCACTTACCAGGTGCGGACTTAAATTGCTGGGCTTGCAAATGAATTGCTAGTCCCTCATTGTGCGGGTCATTGTGGAGCTTTGGTCGGTAAATGTCTCCACTTTCCATATTACATTAACGTTGGCTCATGCATATAACCACCTGCTGCTGATGTAGTTCTCCATCTTAAAAAGATTTAGAATGGATTAACCAGGTCATTACATCTTAATTTAATAATGAGCATTACTGTAGAGTGATTGTGTGTAGGTATCTCTTAGGTATGTTTTTTAACCTGATGTGTGTATGTTTGGGGGGTGGGGTAGGAAGGTGAGCTGTGCAGGAATTGTCAGCACTGAGTATGCAGGAGAGCAAACACTAGCACTGCTCAGGCATTAATCCCAGGAACCACTAGCAGCTGTGGGGCGCCACCAATGCAACGTGAGCACGGGTGCCTCGTGACAAACATTGCTGGCATGTTCAACTGCATAATGCTCTGGCACTGTATTTTGAATGACATTAATTTATTAAATAAATTGTATATAATCAGTATCTGATTTGGGTTTTTTCTTTTGTGGTGGGAATGCTCTGGCTGTGCTTTCAGTTGAGCTTTTGCTGGCCCAGCTTAGGCATTTGTGAATGATTTCTTAAATCTGTTTGATGCACACACACACACACACACACACACACACATCCCTTTCTGTAGTCCTCTTATCCAACAGTAGCTTTGGTTTGAAAATACTAAGTATAGAATTGTAGAAATGAACTTGAAGCAAATTAACCTTCATGTTTGAATTGAATAAGCTGCATAACTCTTAGTCACTTAACCAACTCAGTTCAGGTTCACTGTGGTATGGAGGCGGCAGCTTGTTTCTTTCCCAGCGCCGCCCAGCAGCTCTGAAATAATCACACTATATTATTTAAAACACTGCTTGGCCCATTAGCTCTGACTTCTTATTGGCTATCTTTTACCAATTAACCCATTTCCAGTAATCTGAGTATTGCCACATGGTTGTGGCTTACTGGCTAAAGTTTCAGTATGTTTGTCTCCAGTGGTGGCTCCATGGCTTCTCCTTGACTCTGCTTCCTTTCTCCCAGCATTCAGTTTAGGTGTCCCCCCCCCCCCCCCCCCCCCGCCTACCTAAGTTCCCCCTATCAACCATCCAAGACCATCCAAGGCAGTTTATTTATTAGCCAATGGTATTCACAGCATATAGAGGAGAATCCCACATCAGTTCTCTATGGCATTAAGGTAACTTAACAATTACTGATTCTAATTTATGAAATAAGCTTTTATAATAAAGGTGTAAGTAATAAAGTCATGTAAAAACAGTATATGTAGGGTTTGATACTATGCCCATCTTGAGATAGAGGGGTCTTTGGATATGTCTGCAGATAAGAGAACTATTGGAATCATCTGGGGGTGTTGTAAAAGCTTGAGGTTAGCAGGGCAGGGATGCTTGGCTCTTAGTCACAGCACTTCTTGAAAGAGTTGAAGTACTCTACTTGAGTGCTGTTGGTTCAGGCCTTGTGTAAGGATTTGGAAGATGACCAGACTCTGGAGGACATCATTTGTCGTGTTTACAGTGTCGGGGTCCAAACCCCAACATAAACTATCTCTCTGGACCAGTGGGAGGCGCAGGAATTAAGACACAACTCACATGCCTTTATCAGGAGGGAGATTCTCAGTGATCCCTCATAAATCCTGAGTTCACATCTTGAAAATTCCTCTGTGTTTATTCTCCAAAGAGCCTTTATACCAAAATGTAAACCGAGGGGGGAATTCATTAGCATTCTGTTTTCTAGGTAACCAGGTGAATGGCTTTATTCAAGTCCACACCTTTGATCACACTTTTTTATGCCCATTTTGTCACCTCTCCCTATCTTCCTGCTCTGTATGCCAGCTCTATCACCTAGGTAGGAATTAACCACTCTATCCCAGGCATCCTCCAGATCACAAAAGAAGGAACAGGGTAACGATAGCCTGTCTGGAAGGCTACATGACCACCTCAGGTACAAACTATGGCCTGAGTCTGGCTGCCATACCATGCAGAAATATGGGCCTACAATCCACTCTCTCTTATTAATTTTAATAAAACCTGTGCTTCTGTAACAGGACAGAAGATCACGCCTGCCTTGGGCAAAGGCCATTTACCCAGATTTTCCCATCTTTGGAACAGGCATTCATCTGGGAAAAAGCTTCAAACCCATCATTGACTGCTGATCTCTGTGAAGAAAAGAGATTTGGGAGAGAGATATATTTTGGGCTCTGTGTCTTGGAGCCATACTTTCTTGTCAGGATAAATTATAATGCTTTATGAATAATCATGCTTTAAAGGCTATAATCTATTTAAAGGAGAAGAGAGCACCTCAAACTTTTCACATTGTATCAAAATCTAAAATTCTTAACATATGCATTAAATATAAACATTTACAGGGTGTGTCAAACTTTTCCCAACATGAGCAGTTACAAACATCATCAGGTCATTACCATAATGCTCAGTATTATTGATCAATACCAATTTTTCTCAGCATCTTATAAGCACTTACAAATATCAGGTCAATACCATGATTTTTCAACATTGTTGGTCAATACCAACATTTCTCAACATCTTATATGCATTTACAGACACTATCAGGTCATTACCATAATTAACAATAAATCCACAATTAAACATTATCAGGTCAATACCATATTTAACAATAAGTCCACAGTTTAACATCACAGTTTTCTTAAATCCACATTAAACAAAAGAAGAAAAGCTTTTCTGCTGGGTAAGAGTACAATGACATTGTTATCAAATACCAGTTCCAGTCCAATATTTTAATGAAAATTAGTTCTGTGTCCCAGAGACAAAAACAGTCAAATGTTCAATCTGCATCTCAGGTCCAAAGCAAACAGGATTCAAACTGCAGAAAATTGTAGTCATCACGGTCAGGTCATCTCAGCAGGGCCTCTGGGTCTGTGTGTGTGTCCCAAATGTCTGGAAGCAGCTCAGCATCTCTTCCTCAGAGCAGCATGGCACCCTGAAGTATAGAGTGGTGGTCCACAGATCAGGCACTCCATCTCTGTTCACAGAAATGATGTCCTCCAGAGTCTGGTCATCTTCCAAATCCTTACACAAGGCCTGAACCAACAGCACTCAAGGGGGTGGGGAAGACTGGACCAAAGGTTCCTCTCCAGCTCCTCTATGGGGGCGTTTGCAACTATGATGTCATTAGGTCTGCCACTCCTTTACTGTATATACAGTCATCTCATCCAGCTTTATTTTCTTTCTGTGGAAAAAAACACAAAACACATCCTCCAACCCAAATTAATATAGGTTGGGTCTTTTTATAATTTATTGCAAGGGCTTTCTTTTTTCTACTTGCTTTAGCAAAGGTCGCCTTGGTGCCATCATTGCAGATCTGTCTGCAACTTACATCCTTTTAAGTTGTTTTCAAGGAGCCATGGTGCGCTCCACAATTGGTTTTCATTATTAACCATATATGCAGTCCTTCCATTGGAAGAGCCATTTATAAAATTCAACATAACATTCTTTAAGGGATTTTTAGCTATAACATTAGCAAAATATAGGTCTGAGAATTACAGCAACAATCATCTGGAAAAAAAAAGATTATTACTCTAGATTACTCTAGTCTTTGAATTGAGCAAACACAATTGTCCAAGAATCATTATCTTAAAACTATCAATTAATTGCTTAGTATAACATTGATCATAGTCAATTCCCTGCTAAAATATCTTCTAGATTTCATTCTGTTCTGATTTAGACAGGCTACTGCTCTAAATTAAGAATTCACTATCTTAACTGGCAAAATGGAAAGGTGCAGCCACAAAAAGCATTGTTTTTTTTTTTCATAAAACTGCTGTAGAATAAGTTTTGTACTTAATATACACACACTTGCCATAGCTGAATTATAATTAATATACTCTGCCTGCTTGAGTACCTACCTGGATGCTTCTATAAGCTCTCTATTGGAAACTGGCTCATTGCTCCCTTTAAGAATTTTACTTTGTATCTCAAGATCTCCCATAAGAATATTATAACGAAGGCTTTAACCATTGTGTATCTAATTAATAAAGTTTGTAAACTATCCTCATAAGTTACAAGTCTGTCTAGCTGATAGGAAAATGGAAAAAGCATATTCAACTAATGATGCTGGCCTAATTAGACATCAACATGTAGAATGAAAACAGATTCATATTCATCTCTATGCACGAGACTCAAGTTTAAATGAATCAGAGACCTCAACATAAAACCAACCACACTGAACCTCACAGAAGAAAAATTAGAAAAACACTTTGGCACATCTATCAATTACAGCCCCAGTGGTACCAACATTGAGAGAAACAATAAATGAGATCTCCTGAACTGAGAAGCTTCTGTGTAACAAAGGACATAGTCAACACGACATAATATCAGCCTATAAAATGGGAAAAATCTTATCACTAATGCACTCCAAAAACATGAAGAATTCAGGAAATTAGTCATCAAAAGAACAAATAATCCTGGGGCTGGAGAGATGGCTCAGAGGTTACGAGCATTGCCTGCTCTTCCAAAGGTCCTGAGTTCAATTCCCAGCAACCACATGGTGGCTCACAACTATCTGTAATGGGGTCTGGTGCCCTCTTCTGGCCTGCAGACATACACACAGACAGAATATTGTATACATAATAAATAAATAAATAAATAAATAAATAAATAAATAAATAAATATTTTAAAATATTTTTAAAAAAACAAATAATCCAACAAAAATATATGATACAGACCTAAACTTAAAACTCTCAGTAGTTGAACTTAAAATGACTGAAAGATACTCAAAAAACCTCAAACATAGCATCCTTAACCATTAGAGAAATGCAAGTTTAAAACCCCGAGATTCCATCTTATTGCTGTAACAATGACCAAGATTAAAAATACTTATGACAATTTATGCTGAAGAGAATGCGGGGTAAAGAAAAACCTCTACCACTGCTGCTATGCAACATGAGGGCCTGCTTGTTGGTGTTTCTGTCCTGCCCAGTTCCCACAGCCGTTAGGTCCCAAAGAATCACACAGAGGTTACATAGGTTACATTAGTTATAAACTGATTGGCCCATTAATTCAGGCTTTTTATTAACTCTTGTAATTTATATTAACCCATTATTCTTATCTATGTTAGCCACATGGCTTGGTATTTTTTTTGGCAGGGCAGGTCACATCTTTCTTCTTCTGTATCTGGGCAGGACTGGGGAAAAAGCTTCCTTCTTCCCAGAATACTCCTGTTCTCATTGCCCCACCTCTACTTCCTGTCTGGTTGTCCCACCTATACTTCCTGCCTGGCTACTGGCCAATCAGCATTTATTTAAAATATAACTGACAGAATTCAGAATTGCCCCGCACCACTGGTGGAAGTGCAAACTGGCACAGCTGCTTTGGATCCTAGTATGGTGATTTCTTAGAAAATTAGGCAACAATCTACCTTAAAACTCAGACACAAAAGGTATTCAACCATACTTAAGGACATGTGCCCAATTATGTTCACAGCAGAGGGGGGGGAGAGAGAGAGT